ATATCACAAACATAAACTTCTCTACAATTTTTGTCATGCCATTTTGAGAAATTTTGATCATCATAATTACATTACCAACACAAGAATCCAAGATAAGGTTTGCATGTCCATGAATATGTGAGTAATCTTGAAATTGTGGTAGGGTAAAGGAAATGATGAGATTTGAAAGGGAAACATGCAAGGTTCCCATGGAGTGGACACAATCTACTCAAATCTAACTCTTGTAATGGGGGACGTTTTTGCCCAAAAAATGGTGGGGGGATTTTTTTTATTTATTTATTATTATTATTTTTTTGGGTGTTGTGGGGTGGGGGAGGGGTAGCACCACTTTATTAGAGGAAGGTATAATTGCTGTCCTAACTGTCTCGTTAAAACCTTTGTTATGTATTCATTTGACATCAAGGACCCTTGTTATCTCAAAATAAAAAAGCTTATTAAAAATCAGATTGGATTGTATTGGTTGGTGAATTAGAAAATTTGAGAACATGTTTGAGTATAGGATCGAGATAAAAATATAGAACAATTAAAATCACTTTTCTGGTAGATTATACCAAAATTTTATTTTATTTATTTATTTTATTTATCCTTGATCGAACAGTTTGATTTTTTTATCTTTTGACTCTATGCTCGTTTATAAAATATTGAAAATAACATGAATATATTGAATTTTTAAGTGTGTGGCGCGTTTGGACTTTGGTAGCACGATTAGACTCTGTGAACAATATTAGGCCAGGAAAAAAAAATTTAATTTTTATTTTTTTTTGTAAATTGTGATGTGTAAATTTGTTTATGTTTAGCGATTAGCCTCACATTATTCTAAAATGCATAGAGTTTTGTTAGGTAGCAAGGTAAAAAAATTTACAAGTCTAAGCAGATCTAGGTGAAGTTCAGACGAAAAAAATTGTAAAATGTGACTAGATGACACCATCAAATTTTGTGCCTCGACAAAAGCCTCTGGACAAACTTCTTAGATCAATGGGGCCTTAGAAGGCAGCCTTAAGTTCCCCAATGCTGGTTTTTCTTTGGTTGGTTTTGAATTGAGGAAATATTATGATTGTGATTTTATTTATTTTTAAAAATTTTGTTCTAAGTTGACCATCCAAACAAAAAATAATTAGCGATTTATTGAACTTGTGTTCTCCAATTTTTTACACTTGCGCTACATCATTGCTTTGTTTTGGAGTTCAAATATGACTCACTAAACGAGTTAGAAAAAAATATAAATAGTTATCTTACGCACAAATAGAAGATAAATTAACCAAACTTGCGTTACATATTGCAATAACTAGCATGATATTGTAATTTAAAACTTTTGTGTAACATCGAATGCATATTTTTTGGGGGGTGAGCGCATGAGAAGGCGTACATGAACCAATTTTAAACAAGAATCAAAAATTAAATCGATAACAAAAAGATTTAGCCCACGTTTGTTTCTCATTTTTGGAAGAATGAGAATAAAAAATATAGTCGTTACGGACCCCACACAAGAAATAGAAATTCAAATTTGGTAGCTTAATGTGGTGGATAACGATCATATTTTTTATTTTAATAAGAAAAGAATGGGAACTAAACAAGGGCTTAATCTCTGTTTGATCCCTTTTTTCAAAAATACGTTTTTTTTGCAAAATTCATTTTCAACAAGATATTCTATTATAAAATAATTTTATACGTAAATTCAAATTTTTTTCTTACTTTTTAACCATCAATTCTCCCGGAAAAAAAAAACCCTATTTTAAACTACATTTTTACTCCAAAAATAGGGATCAAATAGAGGCTTAACAAAAAAATAAAAGGGTTAATTTCACAAACGGTCACTGAACTTACAAAAAAATTACAAAACGGTCACTAAAGTTTAAAACTTTCAGTAACGGTCACTTAAGTATTGGGACGCTTTAAAAATGGTCACTGAAGTTTAAAAATTTTTGAGCTACTTTTGTGGCAATTTTTCGACAACTTCCGACCACCGATACCATCGGATTTTGATACCGCTGGAAAGCCTACAATGTCTTCTTCAATTGCAATAAAAAATCTCCCCCAAACTCCAAAGGATTCGGCCGGAATAAACCCACAAAGTTGGCTACCCGAAAAGGCAAAAATCTGTCCAAATTTTCAGATTTTTGGTGGACTTTTGCGGCAATTTTTTGACAACTTCCGACCACCAAAATAGCCAAATTTTGATACCGTTGAAAAGCCCACAATGTCCTCTTTAATTAACATCCAAAATCTCCCCAAAAGTCCAAAGGATTTGACCGGAATAAACTCACAAACTTGGCATCCCAGATTTTCGCCTTTTTGGGACGCCGATTTTACGGGTTTATTCCGGCGACTCCTTTGGAGTTTGGGGAAGATTTTGGATAGTAATTAAAGAAGACATTGTGGGCTTTCCAACGGTATCCAAATTCGACGGTCTTGGTGGTCGAAAGTCGCTGGAAAATTGCCGTAAAAGTCGCCCAAAAATCTGAAAATCTGGGTAGATTTTCAGATTTTTTGAGACGACTTTTGCGGTGATTTTCCGGTTGAATTCCTTGGTGTTACGAAGAGATTTTGAGTGGTAATTAAAGAGGACGTTGTGAGCTTTCCAATGGTATCAAAATTCGATGGTATCAGTGGTTGGAAGTAGTCGAAAAATTGTCGCAAATGTAACCAAAAAAATTAAAAAAGTGTTTTTCAATTTCAGTGACCGTTTCAGAAACTTTTTAAACTTCAGTGACCGTTTTGTAATTTTTCTGTAAGTTCAGTGACCGTTTATGAAATTAACCCAAAGTTCACATTTTGAAGTTAAAAACGCAGCATTCTTATTGTATTTTAACAATTTTAATTTCTGATTTTCGAATTTTAACCGAATTAATTTTTAAATAAGCTCTCAAATGAAAGCAATTCTTCTGCTTTGACGAACTGATTGAAATTGGTTTTGGACAAGACATCCTAAGAGCAACAATCCTTATTACTATTTCTTACAAAAGACTGTTCAACAACCAATATTCACTATAATGATAATTTACTCTTAAGGAATACAATTTTTAAATGACAATATTGTTTACCTAATTTAGTGTTTTCGAAGCATCAAAGTTGTTGCATAATGATACCTTTTCATTTTAAACTTGTTAGCCCTTCGTTGGTCCGTTTATTTTCAAAATACATTTTTTTGCTCTTATTTTCATTAATACATTTTTCAATAAAATAATATTATACGTAAATTTAAAATTTTTCTTATTTTTTAACCACATATTCGCTATCAAAATACTATTCAGAAATACATTGTGGGCAAAAAAGACTCAATCTTTCATTCATATTTAAGGTCAGTTTGATTCTCTTTAATTTAATTTATGATTTGTTATATGATCAATTTCAATCACACATTCATATAATAAAATATTCTACACATATACAAAAAGAATTTCTCTATTTTTTAACCACACATTCTTCTAAAAATACTATTCAAAACTTATATTTTTTCACCGATTAATGAGAACCGAACTTAATAAGTTGTGCCTTACGTTTATACCAAATACTCATACATGAGAAGAAAAAAAAAGTATAGGGTAAAATAAATCAAAATGGGTCAAAAGCAACATAATTTATTTTAAGGTAAAGTCAAATATTAAACAGAGAACATATAGCACATGTTTGTTTCCCATTATTTACTCAGTAAAATGAGAAATATTATCGTTATCCATCACATCAAGCCACCATATTTGAAAATCTATCTCTTGCGTAGGACCCATAACGATTATGTTTTTCATTTTCATTCTGATATCAATGTGATTCAAACGGGACCTGCTTGAAGAATTAAAATCACATTTAGAAAATGATAATTAAATGAATGAACAAGAGATAATGCATATTATACATACATCTAGAGATGTTGCTTGCTAACGATCATTCATCGATAGAGCACGAGTTGGATGGCCATGCCATGGGTAGCAAATCTTAAAAGCGATTCAAAAGAAATTGCCCCCTCTTTTGCTACCTCACCCCATTAGGGGCCATATCTTGAAAGAGAATCATAAGAAATTGCCACCCTTTTGCACCCCCTCGCCGACGCACCCCACTCAGTCCACCTCCACCTGCTTTGGACATTGGAAGAGCACATGATTTCACACAAGAAAAGGGCAGTAATGCTTACATCACCCGTATCTCTATGAAGGATTTTTATGGGTCCCATGTCCAACGCCCTTTTGCTTTCAATCCCAAGAAAACTCCCCCTCTCTCTCCCACCCTCTCTTCCTCTCTCTTAAACATTTTGAAAATTTTCTATACTCGTCTCCATCCTATTGTCTCAATAGCACATTGGTCACTGCCTTTAAAAAGAAGCAAATGAACCATTAACATTTCATTATGTTTGGACAATCAACCTTTAATTCCGAAACTGGTCTAACCATCTTACAATATGGTCTTCACTATCCAATTTTATAAAGCTAAGTTTTGTCATTCAGCTTGGGCTGATGTCCAAAAAATTGAAGTAATGTAGTGACGGAAAGTCAAGAAAGTTGGTGAGCAAATGAAAGGTGAGCCTATGGTTGAAGTATTGATGAGCGACGATAGCAAAATTTGCTATCGTGTTAATTCACAAGACATGCGTAATGATTTAAGCACTGTATTGAATAAATGCTTGATGAAATAAACATGTTCGAAAAATACAAACCATGCGACAATTTAACTAATGTGTACGATTTTTTCATTGAAAATTGATCCGTGTTTTAAAAAAAAAAAATCGCCTATCGATAAAGTTTGGCATCATCACCTAATCATGTTTTATGCTTAGGAAAGCTTAGGTTTGTAAAAATTTGAAACTTAAGCTCATTGTCGAGCAACACATTACTCGCTTTAGAACATTGACACTGGTTCATATTAAAACTTACTCACTCTTCTAAAAAATTGAACACCAAATTGCTATAGAGACAATAAGTTGAGACCAAAGTGCAATTTCCTCTTAACATTTTATTATCTTACATATAAAAACCCAAGTACCCAACTCACCAAGAAAGAATCCTTACAAATAAAATCTCCTTGTTCTACACTGTTATTTCTTTATTTTATTTAACTGTATACACATCCTATTGCTTGCCTTGTAATTCAATTCCAAGTTGGAAAAATCTTGCAAAATCTTTGGATGAAATCTGGTCAGATCTTGCTTTGTGGGATGTGGATTTTCTAGAGTCTTATTCCAATTCAACAAAACCCCATTTCCTCTTCAGAATCACAAATGCAAAAACCAAAGCAATCTCAATAATAATCAGAGAACCCTTCTCTATCTCTCATCTTTCTCTCTCTTGTTCTTCTTGAATTCATATTCTGGTATTGAATATTGAACTTGGAGCAATGGGAATGGCCGCCTCAGACCCACAGTTTCATGTTCTTGCTGTTGATGATAGCCTAATAGACAGAAAGCTCATTGAAAGGCTACTTAAAACCTCTTCTTATATAGGTACTTATTTTTCTTCGCCAAAAAAACAAACAAAAAAAACTGATTTTTTTTTTTTTTTTGGATTTATAAATCATGTGTGCGATTTTACTTTTGCGGGTTTTGTTCATTGTTTCGTAGCAGTTACTACAGTGGATTCTGGTAGCAAAGCTTTAGAATATCTTGGTTGGCATGAAGATGACGAAAGAAACACAAATGAAAACTCTGTTTCTCCTCAAAACCATCAGGTAAAATTTATTTATTCATTTATTTTGCCAATTTTCTGTTTCTTACATTTTTCTTAGGTTGCAGAATATTTATGGGATTTGACTTGGATTTTTTTTTTTTTCTATGTTGTCTGAAAATTAAATTTCTTTGTATTTACAGGAAGTGGAAGTAAATCTTGTTATTACAGACTATTGTATGCCTGGAATGACTGGCTATGATTTACTGAAGAAAATCAAGGTATACTTTCTTGGATTCTATTCAATTCCTTTTATGTGAATTCTTCATATTGTGAAAAATTTTAGTCCTGCTTAAAAGTTACTTTACCAGAATTGTTAGTTATTGACCCTATGAAAAGTAACTTTACTTAACTTTTATAACCACACATTCTGTAGCTCTTATTTTTGATATATGGAGTCGGCTGCTTAAATCTTTTTATATTCTATGGTCGGAATTGAATGTAACTAGAAAGAAAAAAATAAATTTGCATCTTCTCCAAGACCTCATTTTTTCATTTTTGGAAATATTCTTCCACAAAATTTGCTAATTCTAGCTGTGTATCAATCTGGGATTGATGTATTCTTAAAAGTTATACACACCATTCATTTAATATCAAAGGAATCTTAGCAAAATCTTTATACCACCTGATTTTGGTAATTTGATAGTGAAAGGTCATTTACTATTTCCAAATGGTCGCCCCATTGCTTTAGGCTTTTATGATTTTTTTCTCATGGCCTAAATCTACTTATAATCTGTGAAAAAGCAAATTTGTTAACACTTTGCACTCATTCAATGTTTTTTCTAAGAATCTAATTAGATCTTTAAGCAAATCTAGCAATGTCTTGAGCGAAATCGCGACTTCATTGAAACTTAGTGGGGATTTGTTGTTGCATTTATTTCTCTAGATAATTATGTCTTTCAGTAGATCTATTGATCGATAAGAACCGAAGACAAATAAAAATTATGTAATTGATTCTAAATTTATTGAAAATTAGGTGCAATCTCTTTAATTTCTATGGAGAACAACTCTAATAAACAAGTGGGCTTCCTATTGTTTTGCAGGAATCTTCATCTCTGAGAAACATACCGGTAGTCATTATGTCTTCTGAGAATGTGCCCTCAAGAATCAATAGGTAAGAATAATTTTTCGTTTATATCTGGAGTTGGCTGTCTAAATTATTTGTTGGCCGTCTGGCTTATTAATTATAACATTTGCAGATGCTTAGAAGAAGGAGCAGAGGAATTTTTTCTCAAGCCAGTGAGATTGTCAGATGTAAATAAGCTTAAATCCCATATGGTGAAAGCTAAGAAGCAAGAAAAACAAGAATCACCGCCACTGTCACCACAATCACAGCCACCACTGCCGCCACCACAATCACAGCAGCAGCCACCAGAGCTGATTCTGGTGCAGCAGCAGCAGCCACCACAATCGAGTAATAACAAGAGGAAAGGCATGGATGAAGAGCTTTCTTCCCCAGACAGAACAAGACCTAGATACAATGACCTGACTGTGGTGTCTAGCTAATCATAGCAAATAATTTTCTTTTTCACAATTTGAAAATTATAATTGACACAATTTTTCCCTGTATCTTAGTTTAAATTGGTTAATACAAACATTAAGAAACATGTACAGAGAGAGAGAGAAACAATGAGAGTTTCATATATATGATGATAACATCTGTACCCATTTTACACGAGAGACTTCCATCCAATTTTGTTTTTCTTATTTAGAAGAATAATTTTTATTAAACAAACGTAGAGGTGTCGTGGACAGCCCACTTTTCTTCCCGGTCGGGCTTGTCCGAGCCTATGTAGCAAAATGCGATGGTTAGCATACCCTGAAATGGGGGAGTCATAGCATTCTAAGTACCCAAGGTTGTGCACAAATTGCAGACATGGCTAATTAGGTCGTGTTAGGTTCTTACATATCAGGTCGTTTATACTTCTAATCAAACATTAACGTGCGAAAACTTGCATATTTTAAAGTCCTCGTTTGGCCCCCAATTTTTGAAGTAAAAATGGGTAGAATAGTGATTTTTTTGAATAATGAGTGGTTGAAAATGAAGAAGTTTTTTTTGATTCATGTGTAATATTATTTTATGAAAGATTGTATAGTTAAAAATAGGAGAGAGAAAAATAAAATATAATGTAATTTAATATAACGGGAGCTAAATCCAATTTCAAACGAACTTAGATCAGTATTACTTGTACCATGAATATAACAACGTTGTAGCACATGATTCTTGATGTGTCTTTTCTTGACTTATTAGGATCCTCTCTTTGAGGGTGGCGCGGGGGGGCGGGGGTGGGGAGGTCTATTTAAGGGTTTATAAATATTCTGACCATATTTATTGTTTACCAAATAAATTATTGGGTTTGAATAATGATGAAAATATTTCTTAAATACTTTTTCCATTTTATAAATATAAATTTTCATATGAATTAGTATATAATAATAATGTTAAGGAATACGATATATTGACGCGATGCCATATTTCTATACCATTTATCTTAAGTAGTGGAAAGACATAACCTACATCGTTCGTTGCTTCAAAAAAATTAATTATCTCAAGATTTTATTTATTTATTATTATCTGAATGTTGGAATCAACTCAAGGGGAAAAAAAAAGAAGGCGTTCTTCTAACACTATTAAAAAACAGCTTTTCAACTACAGAAAATTACCAACGGCATCCGTTGGTGATTAGAAACAGATTATTCATTGGTAAAAATAATTCACTTTTAACTACGATAATTAGCAACGATTTTCCGTTGGTAAAGATGATATCTCTTTACCAAGCGATATTCCATGCCTAACGTAACCGTTTAACATTTGGATCTTCCTCCAGCGGATATTTCGTAGGTGATGTACCGAATATTACCAACGGAGTTGGTAATTAGAAACGGATTATCCGTTGGTAAAAATAATTCACTTTTAGTTACAATAATCAGCAACGAATTTTTCGTTGGTAAAGATGATATCTCTTTACCAACGGATATTTCGTGCCTAATATAACCGTTTAACATTTTGAACTTTTACCTATGGATATTCCATTGGTAATTAGGAACGGATTATCCGTTAGTAAAAATGATATCTATTTACCAACGGATATTCTGTGCCTAATATAACCGTTTAACATTTTGATCTTTCAGCAATGGATATTCCGTTGGTGATTAGAAACGGATTATCAGTTGGTAAAAATAATTCACTTATCCCATATTGGAAGTTTACAACAATATCTTTATAGTTGCCATCTATAAATTTGTGGTCCAATAAGGAGTTAAACAATATTTTGGTCTTTCAATTCAGTTGGCTAAAAATTAAAATAATAATAATAATAAATAAATAAATAAATAATTTTTTTAACATACGATTATTTACAACATTGATTTTTATCAATTGTGATGGTAGACATTTACCAACGGAAAGTCGGTTGGTATTAGTTAAGACTTTTACCAACGGAAATTCCATTGATGAAAGATTCACATTTTCCCAACGGAAAATCCGTTGGTAAAATGTTTACTCTTTACCTACGGCACGATCCATTGGTAACTATCAACGACCCTTAAATTACTAACGGATTTGTGGTTACAAATATTTCATTAGTGAAGATTATTAACAACGGATATTGAAACTTTAGGAACGGAAAATTCGTGTCTGAAGCTTTGTTTTTTAGTAGTGTAATGAGTGTCAAGTATATTAATTTCTACTGTTTAAGCCTTTTGTCTCTCAAATGAAGTTTTTAATTTCATGTGAAGCTTAGACAAGAAAAAAATAACATATTAGGGAGTGTTTGATAATATGGAAATGGAAAAAATAAAGATGAAATTGGAATTGGAAATTCCAACTTTTGGTGTTTGATACCTTATATTTTTCATGGAATTGCATTTCTTGGATTTCTTGGAACTTGGAATTTTCCTTGTTTTAGTGGAATTTAAATTCTCATCATATATGGTGAGAATTCAAATTCCACCATACTGTAGCGAATATTATTTTTTTCGTCTTTTTTTTTTTTGGTAATGGAAACCAATTCTAAGAATTATTGTAAAAAAATATTTCCCTTTAATTGACAATTTTCATGTAAAAAAAACCAAACGAACATTAAAAAACACTTTTATTTCAACATTTTCCACGTGGAAAATTATATCAATCAAACACAATAATTTATAATTCCCAGAAAAACAATTCTAGGCAATTCAATTCCCTGAAATTCGTTTTCTAGACAATTCAATTCCATCTTTGCAATTAAACGGATCCTTAGTTTTTGTTCAAAAAAATGCTCAAAATTATTATTAAAATAAGTAAATAAATAATTTTTGCCACTTTAATCAAAATAATTATTTTTTCTAACATTTACTTTTACTTTCTAAGTTTTGACCGATACTGTCCTTTTCTTACACCATGGCAATTTACAAATGTCAATGCAGAACCGCTATTATAGATTGTACATTATTGAGTGAATCTTGTACATTGCAGTGACAATTTCAATGTTTTCTTGTAATTATAAATTTCTGGAAATTCGAACCCCACAAATGGTAAAGCTCGTACGTATTTCGAGAGGTGCCCAATAGTCAGATGAAATTTAAGGTAATCAACGAATTTGTTATTTTAGACTTATTTTCAACCTTATTTTATGTCTGAAAATTTATATTTATGTCTAAATGTGTAATTAAAATCATATTATGTTCTGAGGTGTATGTGATTTGATCTTTATGGTTTTTGAGTTTTTCTTGGGCTGAATATTTGTGGATTATTGTTATATTGGCCAAAGATTGGATTATTTCCCTGTGTTTTATTATTTTTTGATGATTTTTGAGCTTTTTCTCTGGCTGAACATTAATGGGTGATTATTATTTTGGCTAAAGATTAGATTTTTTTTTTCCTGTGTTTTATTGAATTTTGTGGCGATTTAAGAATCTTTTTAAATATTTTGAATTTAGAACCGAATTCATCAGATTGATGTTAATAAAAAATTATCTTAATTAAAACAAAGAACATTTATTAAGTACATGTTTTTAATGAATATTTTCATGAAATCTTTAACTTGAAGTTCCTGTGGAAGTGAAAGTATAATAAGAGGGATAAACCTCTAATAGAAGGTTACGGTTTTAAAATTGTTTTAATCATTTTCATTTATACTGAGATTTAAGGAGATGTCCTAGATTTTACAAAATATAGAGTAATAAGCTCACAATTCATCCGACAGGATTAAGAGAGTATGAATGAATATTGATTATGGTGTAACTCAAAGGTACCGAGTACCAACTTCATTTGATGCCAGGGAGTCATGTTGTGGGAAGTAATGAATCTGTCTTGGAGATTTATGGGAATATATAGAAAAGAAACAAAATGACATTTGATTTTTATCAGCTGAAAAATATTTTATGATACAATGTCAGGACGAGTGCTATTGTCGGTGGTAGAGCGAAGAAATTATCATTAGACGTGTTAATAGTATAAACATACGATCAAGCAGTCACGACTGTAGATCTAGTGGCATGGTAGTTGAGATTAGTCTACTTTCTATTCACCGTGACAATTCAGTTGATTAATGAGTGGAGTAAATCATAACTTGGAACTTGGATAAGTACTTTGTAACGTAATGTTTTGTGTTAAGTAGAATCAAGAGGGGGTATAGTCTCTATAGATGATCATCTTGTCCTAAGGAGGACTTGAGGACATTGTAATGTAGTACAAACAAGAATATTAAGATAGATGCTGACTATAGTAGAATGAGTAAAACAAGTGATAAGAATAGACACTAATGTCAATGAGATCGACGGAGATTATATTGCCATCCTTATATGATCTTATTTGCCATAATTGTACTTTCAATAATAGGTTGATTGCATACCATAGTTGTGCATATTTCTATTCCTATATAATGAAACTGATCCCAGAAGGGAAAAGGGATTTAGCCAATTATTCTGTAAATTGACAACTAACCCTAGAGGTGGTACCAATAAAGGATAATCTAAGGAAAGTCAATTTAGATGTATAACGTATGTCGTGTAAACCTAAAGAAGCCAGAGCAATGCAATCTCAATTGAACGTGTTAGCTTAGAGAGTTACTCTAATATTAGCTTGGATTGATGTGGTTGCAAAATATTTGACTTTTTGGACTTTTGGTAAATGTAGCGATAGATTGAATGCAAAAAATATTCATGTACCGACCCTAAAACCATTCCAACATGTACTAAAAAATATATATTGTTAGTGTGGCTTTTCGTTTGTACCATCAACTACCAATTCCTTCACTATTGCCTTTTCTTATATGATTAATTAGGAAATCTAAGCCCGTTGATTCCGTACTTTTCCAGCTTCTGCTTTTTTTCTTCCGACTTTAGGTTCTTTATATGTTAATTAACCTAATGACATGTTGATGTTATGCTTTTGGGTATTACAGATTGCATCTCTAGAACTGTATGCTAAAGCTGGAGAAAAGCCTTGCTAGGTACTGTGGCATAAAAAGCTAATTGCTCAAATTTAAGTGTATATCCGGTTGGCAGAGTTGCAAAATGTCCAACAAAGAAGTTAGAAAAGTCTCTCTTGAAGATATACAGCTGGTAAGTTGTCTGGCTTCTATTTTTTGCAATTTATATATGTGCAATTTGATTCTAAAATTTGATATGTTATTTTGTTATATGATTATTCGTAAAATTCTACACCATATAATATATCCCTGCAAATTTGTGTTTAAATAATATAATGGGAAAATTGCAGTAGCGGACCTTAACCTTTTCATTTTTTGCAAATTTTACCCTAACTTTCATTTTGTGCCAACGAAGGTCCCTAACCTTTCATAAATATGCACTTTAGGTCCATCTAGACGGAAATCGTCCAAAACACCATCAGTTGACCTAGAAAATTCCTTGAACTATCTGCTACCTCGATGAATTTATTGGATGTTGATATCTTTTTGGGCAGTATTATTGGATGGTTTTATTGGATGCTGATTCTTTAATTTTACTGGTCAACTGACGATATTTTGGATGGTTTCCGTCCAAATGGACCTTAGATGCATATTTATGAATGGTTAGGAACACCCACTGGCACAAAATGAATATTATGGTAAAGTCTGCAAAAAATGAAAAGGTTAGGGATTGTTGTTGCAATTTTCCCTAATATAACTATTAATAAATTTGGCAAACTAGGTCCTTGCCAAGAAAGGGCAAAAATCGTTTTAGCATCGTTGTGTGGAGAAATTTTTTTCCATGTTTTACATCTTGTCTTTCTTAAGTTTTGATGGACATCCTAGATGCACAATCATTCTCATAAAGAGTATTTTGGAGCCAATGGTATGACACACCTATCAAGACAAAAAATATCTCTGCAAGGAACGCCCCCTAACTTGCCAAACCTATAGTTGATCTTATAAATTAAACAAAATATTCTTGCCAAACCTATAAATGATCTGACGGATTCGAAGAGAAGTGCAAGGGGGCACGAAAAATCTTCTTATATTCAAGAGAAAAATTTCGCCATGGCTGACAACTTGAGTGGAACTGAACTATGCACAGTAACCTTTAATTCTTTAAGTTTATGTCTCCAGAAAAGAGTCAGTGAATGCGGCACGAATTTGATTTGGTTATTGAGGAAAGAAAATTAGCAGGAAACCTTGTTCATTACTAATAATTGATGCGATCCTTATTTTTTTAATAGAATTGATGTTATAAATACTTCACTGGAGAATGTCTTAGATTTTTGTTGTATGATAAGGCACTGTACTGTCTACTTTTGAATATATTATCCGATTTATGACGTTAAATTTTATTTACAAGTCCAGTAGACAGATTAAATTAATATGTATATGCTTCTTTGTTAATGAGTAAACAAGGACCTAAAAATTATGATAGAGAGAGATTTATTTGAACAACACGATAGCTTCTCCCTACAGAAATTATATTTATGAAAAACATAGAAAGATTTCAATCTCTCTTTGAAAAATAGAATAGACTACTTTTAAAATTTACAAGGTTGCGATAAACAATATCATGACCTTTCTATTTGAACCATATAACTTACCTCTCCGGCCCTTCTCCAATCATTTTTCCATGCTAGCAAAAAAGTACTTACACCGATGCGTTGATAAAATTCTTCATTTATATAGTATTAATTTAGTTTAATACTTGTTATTAATTTCTCTTGTTGAAATCTTTTAAATATAAGTACCCATTTGTTATTTATAATATCTTTGAGTAAAAATATATAATATTTCTAGTAAAAAAAGAAAAATGATTATAATAGAGTGTTCGAGGAGTGTCAGAATCGACACGTATATAATATGGACACACTACCCGAGTTGAAGTGTCCGTGCTACAAAGCTAGTGTGCATTCCATGAAGTTCATTCTTTTCTTAGAAATTGACTTAATAGTTTCTGCTGCTGTCCTTCCTCCCTTCCTGTGATTTCTTATCTGTTTAATCTTCAATTGAAGATCAAGTGCTAATAGAGGATTAGGATCAGCGAACATCTATCCGTTGGTTGAGAATGAAGGATCAAATGACAAGATGCTGTTGATTTGTTGTTTTGAAGAGAATCTAGGGTGGAGAGAAGTGGAGATAGATTTGAATTTTGCATGATCTATGCATTTGGCCTCTTCGTGTTTTTGTTGTTAACGGATTTTCAAGAAAGCCTATGGTGTACTGAAATTTACAATGCTGGTAAAATCATTGATGTGAGACGAGATCAACCACTATTTAACCAGGTGCAAATTTTGTACGAATAGATATCAAAATTGTCGGTGCAAGATATCCGACCGTGATTGGCCAGCATGGAAGAATTTTATTATTATTATTATTTTTTTCAACGCCAATTAGATTCCTAGATGTAAATAATTTTACTGTTTCCAGAAGGATGGCATGCCAACTTAATCACTTTGATTTGTATAGGACCAAGGGATTTTTCTTTCTAGTTAAGTTTTGTTAATTGCGCTTCTAACAACCTCAATTCAATATTGTTCCCTCAAAATAAGAACCTTTAGCCGCCCCCAGTTTCTTATGTGTTCCGTAAGCATCTGATTGGGAACCTTACTTTGATCATCTTTAATATCAGGTTCAAAATCTTATTGAAAGGTGTCTTCAGCTCTACATGAGCCCGAAGGAAGTTGTGAGCACCCTCTTACACCATGCAAAAATTGAGCCTGGTTTCACGGAGCTTGGTAATATCAATTTCTCGATTAGAAGTTTTTTCCTGTCATTTTTTTTTGGGTTCTTCCAAGTTTTAAACAGAGGTATTTTGCAGGACAAGGAGGTAATCACATGGTGTATAAACAAATAATGGAAATCAAGTTTATCAAATAAACAAATGAAGCCAAATACAAAATTAGATTACTCGTAATTGAATTTAAACTAATCCAGCAGGACCTGAATTCCTGATTGAATATAAATTAATCGAGCTGTGTTTCTTCTTATTTCGGAGTTAACTTCCACTATATGGAAGGACATCAAAATTAAGTTGGAACCAGTCTTGTAAATTTTTACTCCTGCCCTTAATAATTGTGACTTAAATTGAAATCTATTTATTTAACTTTAGGATTCTCCTTTCAGTGTGGCAAAAACTTGAAACTGAAAATCAAAGATTTTTCGAGGCATATTATCCGAGGTTGTTAGTGAAGGATCTGATATTGCGATTCAATCAGTTGCTTGAAAGACAGGTCGAGCTAATGCGCCAAATATGTCCTCCTGGAGTTGCTTCCACTCCAAGGTCTAATGGATCTCAGTTTTACTCAAGTAAGCTCACTTCTCGATAAGTCCAGAGTTTTCTTTATGACGGAAAACAACCATATAAATAGGGTGTTCATCTTTTGGCCTCCAGTATCGTTCATGGACAAACCACTGTTAGATGTGTTACATGTGTATATATATGGTTGCATCTGCCTCTCTTCACCAAGCATGTTGGTGTTTAAAGCTCAACAACAAACTCACCTTGAAAGTGATTAAAAACACTTAAAATAGGAGATCTCAAAAAACCACTAAGTAAAGGTCAGCTCGGCCACAAGGCTGCTGTTTTCTGACAATTTCATACTGTAATCCTGTTCTCAGCTTCATATCGAATCTATTTATTTGGTCTTGATGTATTGGACAAGAACTATAACTGTTTCCAATGTTTTTCTCATAATGAGTTTCTTGATTAACGATAATAATTGATCATATGTAAACAGATGTTCTTGAAACTTTAGAGCATGTTTGGTATGCAATCCTTAATAAAATTAGCGGGGACTCAATGTACACTTAACAAGTTTTTAGCTTCTCTTTTCTTATTCTTTTTCTTTTATACTGTCTAATGCTATATGAGCAATCTTGCCAAACGTGGCTTAAATGTTTATGCCATTCTTCAAGGAATGTGTTTCTGTGAGGTGTGTTCACACACACACTTGGATAAATACACACAGCCATGCAGGAATATGGGATCCCGAAAATTTTATTTGTGCATGTCTTTTACCAAGTGTTGTACTGGAATCTGATAGTGCTTTTGAGAAAAAAGTAAAAGAAAATTTGTGGCTATTTCATCTGCAATTACACAGGAGCTCGACTTGAGTAGAAAATTATCATGATTTCATTTTGGCAGTGCATAACAACTCGGCTTACCATACTCCAGAACATGCTGGAGCTTTAAAGCCAGAAAACCTGGACCATGCTATTAGTATCATACCTAGCGTTTACACTAACGGTGCATCCTCCCGACAGCCATCCATACAAATTCCTGTCGATGTGGTATCAGATGACATGCAATTGGCTCAGAGTTCAAATTCAGGAACAATAAAGGGAATAGATGGTGGAATAATTAAATCAGAAGAGGGCTATACGGGTGATTCTCCTTTCATGTTTGGTGGAGACAGTGATCTTCTGGAAACTCATAATGGAATAGGGGATGCACCTGTTTCGTCTTTCAGTTCCCTGGTGTCTAATTCACAACCGTTGAATGAGAATATCTTGGAAGGCGACACAAATATGTTCGGATTCTTGGGGCAGATTCCCCGAAACTTCAGTTTTTCTGACTTGACAGCTGACTTTTCCAATAGTACTGGTTAGTTCTCTCTCTCTCTCTCTCAACTTATGGCGAAGTTTCTTCACCTAACTTATTTTGTTTCAAAGTGCTTAAATTCTTTCCATTTCAGTTTAAGTCACTCGTTTAAAATTTTTTATTTTTTCTATTCGAATGTTCAACATTGAAGCGATCTACATTGAAACCATGTTAAATTCTTGTCTTTGACGTTGGACTCCACTAGATGAACTCACCGAGTTTAACAGTCACTAAACTGAAAAAAAGAGAAATTTTGTTGGGAATTAAGAAAAATTCCCTTTATTTGCCCAGTGATTTTTATTGTTCAGAAAAATAAATAGCAGACAAGATAAATGAAAAAATAAGACAAAAATATTTACAGATTGTCAAAACTTTCAGTATATGAAAAATTTGAATGATCATAGTGAATTTCATTCACCCAAACCCCCATATCCTATAGGGAAAATGCTCTAAGCATTACAACACCAGCCAATTTCTACTATTTGAACACCCCACAAAGAGACTTAAGAAAAAATTATGATGCTAGGCTTATAATTTTTCTTCACTGAACTGTCTACTCGTGTACATGAAAAAAATACTAAAGACGTTAATTTATAGGAAAACATTGGATGACTGAATTCTACACAATTTCTGCTGACCATGTAATGATCTCTCTCTCTCTCTCTCTGCCAATTTGTTTCCAACTTTCCATTACAAATTATAACACTTTGGCATTCATGTTCCAACATCAGTCCAAAAGTGATCCAAGAAAATAATCAATATCCAATCTTATCTCCTCTTTGCAATTAAAGTCCCTCCTATTTTCAAAAGATTCTGCGTAAATTTGAAACATTTGAGGCAATAATCCCAACAAATTTTAGTGACAGCTTGGAATAGCTTAGTGACCAACATGAAACTTTGCCATAAATTGAGTGAACAAAAAGTGTTTTTAACCCACAAATTTTGATTAATTTGTTAGTTTGAGTGAACTATGCTTGGTAACATCTTGTTCCAATTTCTTGTGTTTATGAATTATATGATATACTGTTTTCAGATATATTAGAGAGCTATTCTAGATCTCCGTTCCTTGGAAGTGATACAAACTTCTTGGAACCCCATATTAAGGAAGAGCAGCAAGGTACGAGTTTCAAATTTTGACGTTCTTTTTGACATATTCAGAATGTAGCTTATGCGTGTCCTATCTGTGGGCAGGCATTAATAATTTGGACACCGTTTCAGAGTGCTTGAGTTACAATGATTTTGGCAGTGATTGATTGAATAATTTAGACAGTAAATTATCGTGTTAACTGTTAGAATTGTTTCTTCCCTTTTCATGCTATTATGTGTCTATTCAGTTGTAACCTCTTTGGTTAACGTTACAGGGTCTAAATTGTTACATCCCTGTTAGTACTTATACTTTCTTCGTCTCTTCCTCGGTATTATTGCCCAACGCAATTTGCTTTCTACTTGATTTGCAAGTCGAATACAATCGATATAATTCTCTTTTGTCATTTTATTTGTGTTGCAGGTCCATTTGCTTTATAGGATAGAAATTTCTGAAGACATGTTTATAAAATTAGTGAGGCTTCAGGATTTTGAATTCTTTGCCGTAGTCATGATAGACGATAACCATGTGTTACGAACAATATACAAGCAAAAGCTCTTTCTGGCCAAAGGAGGCGTATTTTAGTAATATTACAGTTGACAGGCATCTGGATCACATTTTGATTGTAATTTTTTTTTTCCCCTTCTTGAATTGGTATTAACTACCACATTATAGACTTGTTTTGTTCGATATCCAATAATTTCACATTTCGGGTTGTGACTTGTTATCGCTGATCGTTATGCGTTTCAAGAATGTGAATCGTTTGAATACATTTTTGCTGCTTTATCTTTCAAAAATACTACTACTGTTTTCGTTAGAAGGATCTCAGACTGCTTTCTCTCGTCTGCTGAACACAATTTCTCATTGCATAAATAAAGGTAGTAGGCACATTTTGACAGGGAATACAAGCAATATGGGGGACAAAATTGCAATTTATGAAAAGTTTCTCATAATTTTGAGACTTATTCAAGGGGAGACAGGACATAGTTAATCAGGGGCGGATGCCTCTAAAGAGTAACGAAGGTGATCAAAGGAAGGCTCCAGCTAAAATTTTGCACGTGAGCATAATGCTATAAGCCTACCTGACCGTGAGATCGACTGGTCGAATAGAAACAAAAGTCACGGGGGCGTAACATTTTGAGGTTGATGGTATGTTACTGTTCGAAGTTGAGATGCAATACTGCAATATTGGCAACCACAGGTCGAACTAGACTCAAACGTATGTAATCCAACTAAGTAGGGATGCAACATCATTCTTATTAAATTTTATCAAACCCACCCTCCCCTCCCCCCGGGAAAAAAAAAATTCATATATCATGCATTCCAATCACAGAACTAGACATCAATCAAATTAGCATGAACATGAAAATTCGTAGGTCTGAATCTCAATGACTTTGTGCAGGTCCAGTTCGGAATGCATTGTCTAAATCAGCAATCAAATCATTGACATCTTCAATTCCTACAGATATACGGACGAGATCCTCAGTTAAACCTCTGGCCTCCCGCACTGCAGCCGGTATGGCTGCATGGGACATAAAGCAAGGCAAGCTTATGAGGGACTTCACACTTCCTGCAAATTGAAGAGAATAAATCAGCGAGTCGAACAAGGTAGACAATAATTTGAAACATTTCTTAGCTAATAATGTTGCGTATAATTATACGAGAAACAAAGCTAACAAAATAGTGTAACATAAGTCTTTGGACCCATTTGGCAGGGTTTTCAAGCCTGTTAAGATAATTATTACTTATTAGAAATGTTTCGTTAGACTAAAAGAGCTTTTAAAAGAAGTTGGCCTAAAGTGATTTCTGCAGAAAGCTCTTCTACAAAAAGCAAAAGTAGAAGTAGAAGCTATCACAAACAAGCCCTTACTCTCACAGGAATACTGCAGTCGTGAAATGAATGTCATCTACCAGAAAAAGAACAAAGAAACTGGAAGTTCTTCAAAATTTTGCGCAAAAGCAAGCTTTTGAATAAGAAATTACCAAAACTGACGGTGATGGTAAAGTACTTGGTAGTCTCAGCTACATGCTTAGAAAGTTCCAACGACCCTGTAAGGAAACTGAGCACGGATCCTGCACCCTTTGCCTGCAAGAAGGAAGATCAGAGCAGATAGATACAAAAATTGTTTTTGGCTGTTCTAAGTGTGATATAATGATAGTATCAATTAAAAGTACAGTCTAATGACAGTACCTGGGAATAGTGTAAAGATCGTCCTGGATGGCCGGGAAGACCAGCGTAATTAACCTGTTTCACCCGTGGGTGGGAGGCGAGAAATTCAGCAATTTTTTGGGCATTCTCCTGCATAACCATTCAGTAAAACCTGTTGAACTTCACAAGGCAAAAGTAACAATAAAATATACTAAAAAATTTGGAAAATTAGCTAGACATCTAACGAAGGCCAGAAATATTTCCATTCTGTTATCTAAGGGGGTGTTTTGAGGGCAGGATGTGGCGGTGCCTTAAAATTTTGAAATAGCACATAAGTTCGTCTTATAAACTTTAACTATTCTTAGGACTGGATAACCATATATCCCCCTAGCCCCGCCCACTGTGAGAATGTCAATGAAAAAAAGACTCAAGCTAGGTCTTCCACTTAACAGATATCCTGGATACGCCATTGACCAACAAAAAGAAAGATTTATTTGGTGCACAATAGAAAAACAAAGAGAAGTGATACAACAAGATCGGACGTCAATGCCAAAACAATCATTTTACAAACAAGAAGAAAAGGTTTAAATGGAACCTGTTGCTTCTCAACACGCAAAGCCATAGTTTTAATGCCTCTTAAACACGTCCAACAGTCGAATGGAGCTAATCCTGCACCTTCGGCATTTTGTATGAAATACAAGTCCTTCGCCAAACTAATGAGTACAAAATTAAAAGTTAAATCCTCAAAGTAGCGAGCAACCAGCACGGTCTAAGAAATTGCCAGATATTATGGATACCTCTAAATACATGGATGTTAATATATATATATATATATATATATAGGGTAAAGTTTAGGGTGTGAGACTGCGCCTGAATGGAATACGCATTTCTGTGCTCATTGGTAATCCGATGTTGCAATAATTGATTCCAAGGACGTACAGAACCAGAACTGCCTCTAACTAGACTATTGCCAACCAAAACCAGTCGGATGGGTCTGATAGGGATGACCTCAAAGGTAAATTACTATAATAGAGACAACTCAAATTTAAAAAATTATAGACAATCTAATGGTTTTTATATCTTCTTCTACAGAAAAATAATAAATAAGCTGTTTAATTCCAGCTGACACCTCCCCAATCTCCTCACACGCGAGGCAATGCCAATTAAGTAGATAATAATACCAAAACTTTTGTGACAAATCAATAATTATGAGATTCAAGGAAAGTGCAGCTTAAACTAGAGAAAGCATATTTAGGGTATCCAGTGCATAAGCTACTTTAAAGCCGAACCTTTCTCCTTTAATAGCAAGAACCCCAGCCATGACATCACTGTGACCAGATATGAATTTAGTAGCCGAGTGCATCACAATATCTGGAAGATTGATAGATTAGTATTGAAAGCAGATTCACAGTTTGTAACCTTAATATTTACAGGTACCAAAAAACAATTAATACCTGCTCCCAGTTCCAAGGGTAGAGACAACACAGGAGACATGATGCTGTTGTCGACCAATACAAGAGCACCATTGGCATGAGCCATCTCAGCTATTTTCTGGATTAGAATCAGATAAGAAGAGTAGTATTTATAAGCATGTTTGGAAGGTGATTATAATTTAATCACTTCTGGTCAAACGTAGTTTAGTCCACATATTCCGTAAGACCCACATCACTTAAATTTTAATTTATGCACTTCCCAAAAGGGAACTATGATAATAGAGAGTAACAATCTTCTGGAGAAGTCAAAACCTGATATTATTTTTGTGTTTTTATTTATAAAAACCTATAATAAGTGAACCCCACTCATTTCACCAGTATAGAAGGGCATAAAGAAACAGATGGTAAAATTGAAATCTAAAATTAAGCATGACCTACACGAATATCAGAAATTTGCTGGCGTGGGTTAGTTGGACTCTCTAACCACACCAGTTTTGTCCAGGGGCCAATCGCAGACGCAACCTCAACGAGGTTAGTCATATCCACACGCCTGCATCAGTTATTCTTATCTAAGATTTCAAACTTAGAACCTCTAAAAGAGTCATTTCAAAGCAAAAGGCAATACTGACTTGACCACAACTCCAGTCTTTGGAATTACTTGCGATAACAATCGATCAGAACCACCATACATGTCATCTCCAGCAACAATCTCCTCACCTTTCATCAAGAAACAAGAATCTTCACTAAATACCCGTGCAAATCTCTAAAAGATAGTTCTTAAAGCATATGTTTTTACATGTTCCTTATGAAACTTTGAGGAGATTCGAGGAGGACACTAATTAAATTTCAGTGAAAAAGGATGAAACCTTAAAACCAGACTTGCAACGCTGAACCCGTTAATAGGTAAATAAAAAAGTACCTGTCCCAATAAGACGAGTCACAGCTGCCAAGGCAGCCATTCCACTAGTAAAGCATAAAGCTCGATCTGCCTTGTCAAGCTTTGCAAGAAGTCTGAGAACATACAAAAGAATATATATTTAAGAGGGGCAAGTAGGCCATCTGAATAACTGCACCAACCACACTGTACATGGCGAAATAGCAGAGACCTTTCTAAGGTGTCCCGAGTTGGATTCCCACTTCTTGTATAGTCATAAGGTCCATATTCTACTGCCGAAGGCTGGATAACAGTAAGGGTCATCATAAGAATCAAATATTAAATTTACTACTACTGTGCATGTTTTCCAGGATAAATAGAAAGAAACAAAGAAACAAAGGTATCAGCAAAAGGTAATCGTATGAATCAAATGTCAAATTTAGTAATTTACAATCACCATGAACGCTTTCCAGTATAAATAGAATGGTAGAAAGATATTAGGGCATCTGTCAGCAAAAGCATGCAGAGATAGTATACATAAAAATGCTTATGTGCTAAGAGTGAAAAATAGTACCAGATGGCTTAAAAAAAAAAAATAAAAAAAGGGCATCTGTCAGCAAAAGCATGCAGAGATAGTATACATAAAAATGCTTATGTGCTAAGAGTGAAAAATAGTACCAGATGGCTTAAAAAAAAAAAAAGGGCCTGTAAACTTATGAAACGATCCAAGGAAATCTTCTTAAAGTCAAAAGACATTCGCAAAATTTTACTTCAGAATTCAAATATGAATATTTTTGCTCCTAAAGTTCAAAGTTATACAACTTCTAGAAAGACCTATCAGATGAGGAATCTTAGAATCATGGGTAGTGCCCCTGCAAGAACCAAGGTTGAACACAGGGATCAAAATCTGGAAAAGTAATTTGAAATTAATTTGTATCGAACCCCTTATCAACAAGGTCAAGATCAGATTAATGAACTTTCGTTGCTATTTTAGCATTTAACTTTTCTTCTTGTAAAAAGATCTAGGAGTTTGCATTTGAATTCTTAAGACCCGATCAGATTGCTGGACTAATTTCTGGTACTTAACTATTCTGCATGAAACTTTTTCCTGATTTATCTCTACTTTGTGTGTGTGTGTGTGTGTGTGTATAGAGCAAATGTATCTACCATATAATGCATGAGAATACCAAAGTTTTCTTCACAATATCAATCTATTGTCTTTTCAATGGAAATTCTAATTGATTCTTATGTTAAAGATTCAGCCAACAAATAATTAGAAGTCGTCCTTCGGTGATGAAAAATAACTTAGGAATTACTAATAAAGAAGCAGCATTTTATATGAACCTAATTTTATATCATATTCCCGAGTGGTCTAACCTCTAACTTAACCTTTCAGTTTACACCCATAAGTTCATGTTCTGCATATAAAAAACAAAAATGCATTGCTACACATGTGGAATAAAAATTACCTGCTTAAAAGTTGCTGTTTGATAAAGAGGCGTACTTAAGGCATCATAAGGATCAAACTCATTACCAAAGTTCATCAACATTGTTGAAACACTTGGCTCCACTGGGCTCAGATCCTTAACTTCTGTTTCTGCCATCAATTATTATATTAAGTACCTGCTGCTACAATGACAAATCAAAATGCATGCATACGTACATTTATGTCAAGTACCGAGAATAAATAAAATAGACTAACCACTTGAGCATTCGGCAATACCATCAACCAAAGCTGATGCACTCACATCCATCTCTTTGTCTTTCAAGCAATTCAATGAGAAATTCTTACTACTCAGCAAGTGATTTTTGCTAACCAGCACCGTTGTTTTGCACCCATATACCAAAGGGTAATTTCCAGTCACAAAACCCTTAAAACAGTACCGCATTGAATTAGGAACAAATTGGTTCAAAAGTTTACATTCGAATTTTATCTCATTTGTATGCGAAGTGGAAAGGCAACCTCTAAGTTACAAGTCAAAAAACAGAAAATATTTTTCCATTAAAGATTTCTACTTAGATCTATGCTCTTACACGTAATAGAAGATTCATCTAAAAAGCTGCCGAGGTACCAACATTGTTCAAACAACACATAAGGAAACTTTAAAAATCCTTATTAAACCTACTAATACTAGAAACATAATTAAATAGAAAAAATCCCAAGTTTCTATGGCTCTCTAACTCTCTAAATGAAAAAAGAAAAACATAAATTCGAAAATAATTTATTTTCTTTTTCAATATTTTCCACATACAGACACTTTTTTATGGCCAACACGGAAAAATCTGGTGTGAAGACAGAAATTAAATTGAAAATTTAAGTGTGATTCTTGTTACTCGAATAAAACATGCGTACAATTAACTAGAACATGCCCATCGAAGCAAAAGCTTAAAACTTTCCTAAATTTACAACGATTTCAATTCAATTCAAACAAAGCCCGCCAATTTTCAGCCCAAACAAACATCCAAAGAACCCTTCTTCAGACTCTAATAGATACAAACATATATATGCATAAAATACACAAAACCCGCAAATATACGAATGCACGCGAAAAATTGAGGCGGATGCTTACATGCCCGTCAGTCGGGTATGGTGAAGCATACTTAAACAGTGATCTGAAAGCCAAGGCCGAAGCCGCCATTTAGTTTGCGTACTGTAGCAGAGAAAACCAAACAAAAGTTTATGGTGAATTATTAACAATAATTTATTTATAATGCTTTCGTGCGTGGTGTGGGAAAAAAAAAAAAAAAAAAAAAAAAGTCAGTTAATGGAATGAGTTTTGATAAACGAACGGGGCCGTTTGGAATGAATAAAGCTGCTAATCTCGGGATTGAATCTAAGGGTCGAGGTGGCGCGAACTCGACCTCTGATTTGATGGTGGTGGACCCCATGTGATTCAAAATCGAGGATCGAGGTGTTGAAACCCAATATTTAATCTAGAGTTGTGTAGCAAAATTGGTTTGGAATAGTGCATGTGGCTTGACCGTTTGGACACATAGATGGTCAAACATTTTCATTTTAAATAATTCTCTCAATTCAAATTAAAATGACGATATGCAACTCCACTTAGTTACAACCATAGTTTAGGTGACGCTAAATGGTAAGTTGAATGAAAGATAAAATTAAATGATTTATTTTATTTTAATATATCATTTAATGCACATTAGTGCCTGTCTGCCTGTGATTCTTCATTGGATTATCAGTGAAAATGGAGCCGTTGAACCCAAACCGTGGGTCCCACCATAGAGATGGCCAGTCAACAATGATAGCTGATGTTGATATCCAACGGGCAAATAATCGATTTTTTGGCATCCATAATTTCTACTAGACAGGGTGTTAATATCACATTAATGCGACCCCAATTTAGATAGCTATATGATAAGTTGAATGAAAGGCATATCATTTAATGTCACATTGATACCACCTAAAAGTGAGACTAAAATATCATTACTCTTTCAATTAGTAGTTGTGGCTGACTTCCATACATGGGTAAAAATATAATATTTGATCAACTTATAAGTTTAAAAATGCACTCTCAAACATGTTCCACTTTAATTATTGAATATTGAATATGGATGCAAAAATAAAATTATAAACTGTTTTTGAAACATAAGCTCAATGCGTGCAAAATTCTTGAGAATCAATGTGGACTAATGTTTCAACCTCAAATGCTTCAGAATTAACTATCTTGAATAATTAAAAGAAATTGAAAGAAGGCTTAAATCATGTCCATAAACAACCTAATAGTAAATGAATTGTACTTGTCGATTAATAAGTCCGCACGACCTTGATATATTAAGCCATTGTTTGATTTTGATAAAAATTAATTTTTTTTAGTAAACTTTGATAAAAGTTGATGAAATGAAAAATTAAAATTTTAATAAAAATTGTTGATTTTATCAAATGCATGATTAAAACTGAATTTGAACTGGAGAAAAGAAAAATTAAATGGGTGAAACATGGACTAACTTTAATGAAATTGCAAATAAGACCTCAATTAACACAAAATAATAGAATTTTAGTTTAATTTTTTTTTTAATCGTGACTACTCCAAAACATAACTTCAGTGAAATTGAAAATAAGAATCTGAGAGACATAAAATAATAAAAGACTCTTATTTTAGTAAAATTCAATTAAAAAAAATTGTCTTTGATTATATCCATTACAGTCGACTCCTATAATTATTGGCAAAGAGAGAATGAAGAAATACAATTTTTTTTATATTAAAAAGAAAAAAATTATTTTTAAAAATGAGATTACAATGTTTTACAATCAAATTTTTTGTTGATGCTAAAGAATATCAAAATCTTCATTCAAAATTTTAAAGTTAAAATAAAATTTGATGATGGGGTTAGATTGAAAATAATTAAACTTCAGAGGCGGAATATGAATATTCAAGATATTTAGGGGGGCTATTGGTACATTCTTGAAACATCTGTCATTACGTGCGACGACCGACTTCGTGAAGTCCAATAGATAGTCAGCAAAATCCAATCTATTCCCCGGACTGCAGCTCCAGAGATCTCTTAACCTTACCCCAGAATCGGTTATCCTCCGGACACAAACCTATTCAGCCATAGATGCCACTTTTGGAGAATCAAGAAAGGGTTTGGTGGGTTGTGATTTTGTCTATTTATTTAATCTAAAGCCAGAATTTTTGGGGGACAATTTAAATTTTGTAGTTCTTAACTGCAGAAAATTTCAACCGTGCTTTGATTATTCATTCCACTTGAAGAGAATCAAGATATTGTGTGTTGTTTCTTTGGAATGATTTCTCGGGGTTTCGAATTTGCAAAATGGAGCTCAGGAATTGTTCTTGATATGGGTTTGCTTTAAAATCAGCAAGAATTTCAATTTGGTTTGATTGTTTATCAAATAAAAGTGTGAACTTGAAAAGATTTGGGACAAAAAGACAATGGCAATGCCATGGAATATGACAATTTGGATGGCAAAGATGATATGGCTGGCACTGAGTAATTGGGTGGTTTCTTGTGTAAGTGTTGCTGATGAAATTGCTAATTCTCTGAGAACTGGGGAAATTAGCCCTTTCCATGTTGGTTGATCCAAGAAATGGCTATGAATTTAGCTTATTTTCTGGTTTGATCTTTTCAACTAACAATTTTTATTTTTTATTTTTTATTTTTTTATTGGGAATGTAGTTAATGTTGATAGGCTTAGTTGACTTGTATCAACGTGAATAGTAATTTGAGTGTTTGCTGATGTAAATTTTGAATCTTTGAATGAGAAATGGAAGGTTACATGATCTATATTTATGGAGAGTATGTTAATGTTTGATTTATGGTGCTTATAGTCAAGTTCGTGATTTTTGTGCCATTTCTCTGATTGGATTCTGCTGATATATCCTGCTTTTTTTGGTTTTGTTGTTAGTTAGAGCTCGGGGAAAATACAATGGTTGACTTTTATATATTTGTTTGGGCTCTCGAATATTATTTTCTTGTCCGAATAGTTGGCTAATATGTTGTGTTAAGGGCAATAAGGACTCTGTTCAAGGAGATTATTCTTGTTGTCTCAGCTTTAGTTTGTTTCTGTGTATCCATTTCAAGCACAATGCATACGAAGATCTCTTAGTAGATATGTTATTCTGTGTATCCTTTTCAAGCACAATGCATACGAAGATCTCTCAGTAGATATGTTATTCTTCTAAGATCTTCTGGTTTTTTCTGTCCTTGCTGGGCTTGTATTGTTCTTGGGTTGTCTGGTTTAGCTTAAAAGCTCTGTATCCATATAACTCATAATGCAGCTTATACAAGTGTCTTTCTGTAGATATGGTATTATCTTCTAAACTTTTCATCCTTGCTTTGTCTATTATTTGTGTGATACTATTCTCACATTTTGTGGCAAACTTTAATTGACTTGCAAGTGTGGAAGAGATTTTAAATCCCATAAAGTCTATCTAAACACGTATTTCCTATTAAATAGCATGAAGAACCTTTGATCCCCCTTTCTCCTTCCCAAAATATGACAACTTAAAAGGGAAAAGGAAAAACTTTTAGATATGATAGTTATTAATGTTTCCTCGACCAATAATCTGAATACAGCAAGATAATTTCAGATTGTGATGGAGTTTTAAGGTTTATGATTCATGATCATCATCATCATTGTCCAGTCAGACATTGCACCTGGGGCTTGTAATTTACCGAAGCAAACTGAATAAGATTAAAGAATAGAGTATGTGATCAGATTTTAATTATAAAACTATGCAATGATGGAGGAGGAAATGGTGGTAGATAGCCATAAGAAATGGCCATTGATTACTGTTTAAAAAAAAAATTGAAAAATTTGTAAAAACCTTAAAAACAATGAAAAGCCAATATTGCCACTAACACAAATCACTCACACCAACGTTTGGAGAAAAGAGGGGAAGAAATAGCAAGAAAATCGACGACTTTTTCTTAGAAGGAGACCGACCGGCCATCATTAGAGGTGAAGAATGTAAGTTTTGCTTTATTCTCCCATTAATCTTTGAACTTGGATGTTGAAGATTTATTTTGTTGAAAATAGTGGTAAAAATTTTTGTAAATTATATGAAATTACTGGAAATGGCTCTTTTTGTGGTGTTTTTGGACCAAAGATCGTCAGAAATGGCAATCTCCTGTAGCTGGAGACAGTTTGTGCCATTTTTTTCCCAATTTTTTTTTATTTTTTTTCGTTGTATCTAAATAAATAATTGAAATACACAAAAATAAATAATGAACATTTAATAATAAATAAATTATTATTTAATAATAAATAAATATAATAATGAATAAATATAAATAATCAAAATATGTAATTAAAATTTAATTTAAATAAATTTCTAATACTTAAAACAAATAATTAAATATTTAAGTTTTCTTGTTCAATAAATAATTTAAATAATCGATAAATATAAATAATTAAATCAAATAATTTAAATGAACAATTGAAACAAACAAATAAAAAAATTAAAAAAAGAACATTTTAAATAATACATATATAATGTAAATAACCAACAAATATAAATATTTAAAATAATTGATTTAAATAAGTACTTAAAAATAAATAATCAAAATTAGTAATTAAATATTAAATAAACAATTTCAATCAAACAATAATTATACTTTAAATAATTAATAAATAAAAATAATCAAAGTAAGTATTAAAATTGAAATAAAAAATTAAAACAAATATCTAACATTTAAAAGAAACAAATAAATATTCAATTAATAATTAAAATAAATATGAAATAAACAACTAAAGAAATAAAACAAATAATTACATATTTACGTCTAAATGTTCAAAAAATAATTTAAAATAAACAAATGAAAATATTTAAATAAACAATTACAATAAATAATTAAAATTAAGCATTCAATAAACAATTAAAATAAATGAACATTTAAATAATAAATAAAAAATTTAAACAAATAAACAATTTAAATAAATAATTTAAATAAACAATTGAAATAAATAATGAACATTTAAATAATAAATAAAAAATTTAAATAACTAAGAAATATAAATATTCAAAATAATTTATTTAAATTAGTAGTTAAATATAAATAATCAAAATTAGTAATTAAATATTAAATACACAATTTCAATCAAACAATAATTATATTTTAAATAATAAATAAATAAAAATAATCAAAGTAAGTAATTAAAATTTAGCTAAACAATTGAAATAAATATCTAACATTTAAAATAAATAATCAAAATAAATATTAAATAAATAACTAAAGAAAAATAAAACAAATAATTACATATTTACGTTTAAATGTTCAAAAAATAATTTAAATAAAAAAATAAAAATAGTTAAATAAATAATTATAATAAATAATTAAAATTAAGCATTCAATAAATAGTTAAAATAAATGTGAAATAAACGAGTAACAATTATAATAAATAATTTTAATAACCAATTGAAATAAATAATGAACATTTAAATAATAAATAAACAATTTAAATAACTAAGAAATATAAATATTCAAAATAATTTATTTAAGTAAGTAATTAAATATAAATAATCAAAATTTGTAATTAAATATTAAATAAACAATTTTAATCAAACAATAATCATAATTTAAATAATTAATTAAATAAAAAATAAATATAAGTGTTTAAAATTGAGATAAACAAATGAAATAAATATCTAAAATTTGAAATAAATAATTAAATATTTAAGTTTAAATATTCAAAAAAATAATTTAAATAACCAGTAAATAAACAATTGAAACAAATTAATCAATAATTGAAATAAATAATAAAGAATTAAAATAAAATATTAAATAAATAATATTACAAAAATTAGTTTTTCATTTTTTATAATTTATTGTCTAATTTTTAATCCATTTTCTTTATTATCTATTATTTCGTGCTTATATTAGTTACAGTTCGGTTAGTTGAATTTTGTGACATTATGTTTTATCCATTTTCAATTAACAATGTTTTAACATTTGAAATTTTGCAAAATAAATTATCATTTGGACGTCGCATTGAGACTGATTCTTGGCAATGTTATGTCAAATTGTAACTTTGCCAGCTTTACAGCAGTGTTAGATTCATTGGACGAGAAGCAAGCGGAGATATTATGTCGTCCTGCTTATGGCCCCTGTATTCGCTGCGCTCTATATAGTTTTTTGGACAGTTGATCAATTAATTACTATGTCAACTAATTAAGTTAGTTGACGGAGATTTCCTTCACTTTGATCTCGGGGGCAAAGTTGTTACATTTTTCATATTCGAGTTTGCCCACATCACCGGATTGAGATGTAAAAGGAAGAGGCAGCGAGGGTTAGTATTTCGACAAACAAGAGTCTGCTGAATGATTATTTTAATGGGCACACGCCAGTGACACTGACGCAATTAGGAGATGCATTCAGGGAATACGAACAAATGTCTGACAAGTTGAAGTTGGAGATGGTGTTTATACTCGAAAGCGTACCAAGGCGTCATCACCAGAAGATGTTGATTGACATTTTTCATTTGCAAGTTGTTGATGACATCAATACGTTCAATGGCTATCCATGGAGACAGAGATGCTTTGTCGATACTTTACGTGTCTTCAGGAGAGGGCATTCGATGTCCAAGGGAGATAGGTCGGAGCGTAAGCATAATGTATATGACATGCCGTTAACTTTGTAGGTAAATGTTTAACATAATGAGTTATCTATTTTTTTATTAAATTGTACATGTAATAATCATAATTGTTGCAGTTATGGGTCTACGAGATTGTCCCCATCCTGGCTGGTCAGTATGCGAGGAGGGGATATATTCATCTCTCGGATGCACTGCTGGCAAGTACAAGACAAATTATTCTCGTCATCCTTCTCAATAAAAAAAATATCGATCCAGTATTAATTCTTCCTATGTTATAGCAAAACCTGATCAATTTAAATAAAAATTATAATTTAAATAATTAATTAAATATTAAATAAACTGAAAAATTAATAATTGAATTAAATAATTAATTAAACATTAAGTAAACAATTGATTAAATAATTAATTAAATAATTGAAATGAATAATTAACAATTAAAATAAATATTAAATAAATATCTAAACAGAGAAATACATGACCAATTTAGCATAACTCATATCGATCGAACCCATCAAATCCTTTAACGAGCATTCTTTAGCATTCTAAGCCTTCTGATAACTCATTACTATCCCGTGCTCTCGAGAACGTCATTAGTGATGTCCAAAAGTCTGTAGATCATTTGTGGGTCCTGAAATTTGTGCATTACTTCTTGACTAATGAACCATGATTGGACTTGCATCATTTCGACGAATACCCACTTCGCAGGTATATTCCCATGCATACTTACAAACTACAAAAAACTCATTCATTTCCATTTTCGTCGCTCACAAATGCCAAAGGCAATTGTTATCGACGCAGAGAATTGTGTAAGTTGATTTGTTTGATTTCTTCACTTTAAACTCAAAATTGTGTTTCAAAGCAATCCAGTGAACAGTTTCTTGCAAATATTTTTTCGTGTCAAACAGTTGCTCAACATGCAAATCTTTATCATCGGGGACTACACACGAATTATTAGAGGACCGTACACTCAATCCAACTTGTGAGTTTTGACTCGACTCATGTCTCAAATGGAATAAAGCAATCAAATTCTCATTTGTAAAGTCATTATCTCTTTCATTGTCTTGAACTACCGAGAAATTCTGTGTGTAACAGTGAGATCATGGTGAGGAGTAACTGTCTCTGAAATAGCCACAACATTATCACGAACTATCTCCACTGTGTCCCAAAACTCATTCACATTACGATCCCCTTCATCGAAATCTTCTTGTTCACTAGGAATTACACGTTTCTAGTTCATTTCAATTAAAACTTTCATTTCAGTTTCAGAAGTAACCATTATAGGTGGAATTGAAATAAATGTATGTTCGCCCATTAGAAATCTCAATCTCATGTAGTACTCAGAGGGATCGACTTTGAGCAATTCCTGTATTTCATTGTACATTTCTGCATATGATGTACTTAATGTTATCACAATTGCAGTACAACCATATCTTTCACTCGTCAATTTTCACACTCATCGATCATTTTCATTTTTTTCAAATTCACCAAAGTAACAAATCGGGACACCAGCTGATCTCATATCTGCATTACGTAACATCATTTATTAAAAAAATTGTAATTACAGGAAGAGGAGGAAAAAAATATGCTAGGCAAGACAAAAAAAAGGTAAAAAATGGCTCGAACTGTCTGTTCGATTTTTCAATTTTGCGTCAATTTTTACTGAACAGATAAAATTTTTTCCTCATTTTTGCTAAAAAAATTATACATCCATTTAAGTTTGTAATAATTTATTTTTCTAAAATTATACGCTGAAATAAGATTTAAAGATTCAAATAATGTACTAATTTAACTAAAATGAAATTAAAAATATGTATTTACCAATTTTGAGTGCCGGCTGTGAGTAATATTTTTTTGTTGAGTTTTTGATAATTTTGTGAGATTTCAATGTTTAAGTAGATGGAAGAGAAATTTCTTTTTAATTATGTTGGAGAATCTGATAAGAAAAGTGATTTAATTTTGAAATTTAAGTGGGAGTGTGTGGGTTTATTAATTTTTTGAAAGAATGTATTATTATCTTTTGAACAAATGAACATAATAAGGGCAAAAATAACATTTACTCTTCAATATGCCCTTTTGGTAAATGACAAAAAAATGTTGGTCAATGTGACAAAGTGGTTGTCTGACTTGGTGCTTTTGAAAAGTACCCCAAAAAAGGATTGATCAAATGCTATTGAATCTGACTCATAGTGATCATTTATTAAAGAATAGTGATCATTTATTAAAGAATGACTGGCATAGTGATCTCCTCTACCCGCCATACCACGAAATTGTTACTCGAGTCAGAAATCAGTATGTTCAAAATTTTACATTTAAAAAAAAATCTCGTCACATGTGCTCAACAATTCCTATGAATATGGAGAGATGAATCGTGTTGGACAATAATTTAATCTATTTTACACCTCTAAACACGACAAGAGTACTTAGCGTAAAGTTTTGGAAAAGACTTATAGCAAGTGTCGAAGGAGAATAAACAACATTAGTCGAGGGAGAATAAATAGCATTAGTCAAGCATCATGCACTATCGCAACATACTACACTATGGAGCCCATTAAGGAAATGTGGATACTACTATATGAACATTCGATGTTCGATATCTCATGTACAGACTTGTTGATGTAGTTCGACATATTATTTTATTTTGGACAATTTGTGACATAAATGGAGATATTTCTATAAGTCCTCGAAATGGGATGACACCATAATCATCCAATTTCTTTTCCTTGAATTTCAAATTAAGAACATCTTTTCATGAAAAAAGAGCTACTTTTTTTTCTTTTCTTTAGCTAAAAACTTAGGCAAATATTTTATGGATTAAAATGGTAAAGGTTAAAGTTTTTGAAGGGTTTTCTTTTATTTTGTATTATCATTTATAAATAGTTATTTAAGAGCATGTTTGGCAGGAATTAAAAATCAATTAAAATCAATTTTTTGACCGTTATTTCACTATTCCAGCCATCATTTTTGAATTCTTCTCTCATAAGTAAGACCCACTTTATCTCTAACGGTCAAAAAATCAATTAACAAAATCCCTATCAAACAAGCACTAACAACCTATTTGGGAATGATTTTTTTGCCTAAAAAATTGATTTTTTTTGACCATTATTTCACTATTTCAGTTATCATATTTGATCTCTTCTCTCACAGGTGGACCCCATTTTCTCCTAACGGTCAAAAAATCAATTCTCAAAATTACTCCTAAACAGACTCTAAGTCTCCTACTTAATGGACAATAAATGTTTTAATTCACATTTGGTAAGAAAAAAGAAAATCTTGAAAAATTATGATTCAAATAACTTTGGAAGCATTTTTTTTTCCCCACTCTACAATAGATAGACAAATAGTTCAAAACTAGAACAAGATTCTCATCGCTAGTAACCTAGAATCTAAATTATATACAATTCAAAGTTGAAGTTTTCAACTCTCTTCTCTAAGCCAAAACATTGTAATCATTCTGCAGGGCAACGTCCTCACTGTTATTGAGGGTAGACTGGGGTGCGACATCAAAAGTACCATGGGAACCAGGCGGCAGTTTTTCATCTGAGCGACAAGAAATCTTGCTATCAGCTTCTTCAGCCACATGATCTGAAGGCAATTCATCAACCCCGCCTGTTATGTCACAATCAACGTTGTCAGTTACATCACAAAGCTGTCCTCCATCAACTGCCCGAGCCATAGGAGACAGCTCTCCATTATCTCCTGCATTAGCCAGAATGGGTAGATCTTGATGATTATCGACATCACCATCCACATGATATAAATGTGCATGATCATCATCATATAACTGGGAATGGACGTTCATATTAACTGCATAATATTGCTCAGGCTCATCTTTCCGTCTACGTTTACCCATTTCCCTCCTCCTAACTCTTTCCTTCCCTCTTATCCTTTTCCCAACATCATTTTGTGGATCCGCTATGACAACTGTCGAGCTTCTGGCATGGTCTCTCAAACATTCGTGTGCAATATACCTGATTCTTGCCACTGACTGTACCTGTAGATCATCCATCCCATGAGTCGAGATGGTGTCTGCTAGATGTGAAATGTCCCTCAATGCAGCATTCTGTAATGTAAGTTAAATGCGATGAAATACAATGAAGAATAAAACGAGAATGAAAATGAGCTAGTCAAGCTATAGTGGTTCAAAACATCACATAGGTGCTTACCATTCTCTGAAACTCAGATGAGAAGGGTACAGGCCTGCCTACAAATTTGCGCGTAACTTTCAAGTACCAGTGCTTGTATTCACTTTCATCCAGATCTTCTTCAGCCTCCACAATATGAAAACGACGATATGACCATTCGTTAAGTTCTGATTCCATTTTCCCTGATAGATCTACCCCACCATCAACTCCACGAGTCTTCCTTTCCCATCTCTGGACTTCTTCTGGGATAGTTTGATGCATGCCAAACTGCCTTAAGCAGCGATCTGGAAGGTGTCTTTCTGCCTTGTCAAAACAAATCAACATTGTCTTTGATCTTCCAAGAATGAGTTGATTTAAAATAAACTCTGGTATAACCGTGTGACTGATGTTTATGTAAGGACACCAGTCGACCTGGATATCAAAATGGCATCAACTCTTTGTCATTTTGGCGCAAAATGAAAGAAAAAGGGAAGTTTGGAACCAACTAATATTTCGACTCACATCAGAAGGTTGTAATGAATCCAAAGCTTTACGATAGAAGGCAACATCACGATTTGATGTTGGACCACTATGTTTCCCTTTCCACCTAAGGACAAATGGAAAACATTCATGGATTGGGTCGTGATGAAGTTTGGGTCGACCGATGTTCAGATGATAGTAACTCCAGCACTAGACAAAAGAAAACACTATTCAAAAGTAAAATTTAACCAAAACACCTTACAGGATAAAAAATAAATAGCAGGCTACCAGAGTCCTTAGTATTTCTTGAGTACTAAATATATTAATGATGCAAGTGAAGGCCAGGTTCAATTCACCTGTAGCAGTGTTAAACAGCCACTAATTGTGCTTTGAGATCTGAGGGAGGCATTCCCTAGTGCTCTGTACAAGAAGGATAATGCTGCTGCACCCCATGCATACTTACCAGCTCCATCGAAATTCTCAAACAATGGAAGGTACATGACAGGAACTTTATTACCAGTGGTGGTGGAAAAAATTGTACTACCAACAAGGTATAAAAGGTAAGCACGAGTATGAAACTCAGCATCTTCTATTGATGCGTTCTCGGGACAATGGGAGAAGGTCTCTTTCAGCCAACTAAGCTTCACCATTCCACCACTTGCATACCCAGAATCTGGTACTCTCCCCAGATACTTGACACATAGTGCATCGCATGCTGTATATGTTACACCAATAACAGGTTCACCGTCGATTGGAAGCCCAAGCAAGTAAGCAACGTCTTCAAGAGTCACTGTCATTTCCCCAACAGTCAAATGAAATGTGTTTGTTTCCCTTCTCCATCTCTCAACTAGAGCAGATATAAGTGGGTTATCAAGACTGATTGCGGGTATTAATCTCAAGTAGCCAAATCCAGCTTTCTTGACTAATTCAATTTGTTTCTCGGTGAGCATCCAGCGGTCAAGCTTTGAAGTATGTTCATGACATCTAAGTGCGCCCCGTTCCTGTTAATATCCAATTTACACATGCATGTTATAAAAGTTTTACAAGCAAAAATAAGAGAGGATAAGTTATTTCACAGTGACACCTGTCCCTCCCAAACTGCAGCCGAGACGTGCTTATCTTGATCATACAAAACAGATTCATCAACTGGTCCAGGGCTGGCTGCAGAAAAGTCCATTATGTTGCTGCTAATTACATCTGTCCAAAATGTGAAAAAAGGCAAATCAAGTGAAGGGCTCTGCAAACAAACACGGCTTATTCAACACTTCACTGAAGTTACAATCAAAAGGTAAATATGCAGGTTCCCAGTTGTGATAACTCTTGTAACTGAAATGAATATATTAGAAGCGTGTCCCAGTTCTGATCTAAAACAATACATTGCTGATATTCAAAAAGAGAATTCTAGGATAATAAAGATACCTCATCAATTGTCTAACCGAGAAAGCCAAACACACAGCGATATTGAACTCAAAAATAATACAATGACATAACTATGAAAGGTGTCCTAATGAGCTACATTACATATGGTTTAATCAGAAGCAATTTTATCCCATATAACAGGATCAATGTGGTAGCATTATCATATTTGGATGACTAAATATCAGAGTCTAAGAAATTGTGACCATGTTTTTTTGTCTTGTCAAAAGAATCATTTTCAACCAAAAATAGACAAAATTCACAGCCTAGTTTTTCGCACCATGGAAAAACCATCATCTGATTGACCACTTCTTATAATTTTCTTAGCACGTGTGCTAATATCCTTTTTCTCTGGATCTGAAGTATTGTTTAAAGCATTTAAAATATTTGGTATATTGAGCTTGGAATTTTTTTCTCTGCACTAAACTTTAAGGCCTTTGAATAATTGTTCATATCTGTCATGGTGAGCAGGAAATGCACCATCATCATGATCACTCTAAGCCACAATTTGCCAAATCTCAGTTTCAAGCTTTTCGTTCTTTCAAGAACTATATGGTTTTGTGATAACCAAAAAAAAAAAATGTTGGAATGGATGAGTTATTGTATATTTGTGTATATCCGAATGACAGGATTAGGAGTTATAGAAATACTAGAATTGTGGGATTTAAATTAAAAGGAGAGAGTCCCACTGATAATGTTATCTCTATCTTTTAGGAGTCAGTTTCATTGTTTATCTCTTTGTAATTAGTTAGAGATTATTCTGTATAAATAGATGTGGGATGCATCCTAATAAGTGATATATAAAAGAAACCATTTTTCCTTGAATGTTTACATGGTATCAGAGCTCTAGGCTATTTTTCTGAAAATTTCAAGCATTCATTGCTCAAGCCTTAATTGCCAATTTTTCTATCTTTGATCTTACCATTTTCTCTACCATTAACCATCATGTCAAAGGCTACAACGTCCACAGAAGTCCTCAATCATCCATCTTCTGATGATCTGCAGAAGATCCAAGCAACCTACAGACTAAATGGAAAGAATTATCTCAAGTGGTCCCAATTTATCTGCACATACCTAAAGGGCAAGGGAAAAATGAGTCATCTTCTAGGAATAGGAACGAAGAAGGGAGAACCCAACTTTGAAGCATGGGATGAAACAGATTCCATGACCATGTCTTGGTTATGGAACTCCATGACTCCTGAAATCAGCAACACTTGTATGTTTCTAACCGCTACTGAAGAAATTTGGAATGCTGTTCAACAAACATACTCGAAGGCTCACGATGCGGCTCAGGTGTACGAGATTAAGGTCAAGACCGCTTCAATGAAACAAGGCAGCAAAACTGTTACTGAGTACGCAAATGCACTTCAGAATTTATGGCAAGAGCTAGACCATTATTGCTGTTTTGAGACCAAGTGTCCAGAAGATGTTGCAATCTTGAAGAATTTTATCGAAAAAGATATAGAGTGTATGATTTTCTTGTAGGACTTAATGCTGAGTTTGATCAAGTGAGGGTCCAGATTATTTGCAGAGAAGAGATACCCTCTCTAAACGAGACCATCTCTCTAGTTCGGGCAGGAGAGAGTCGACGGGGGGTGATGCTTGAACCCCAAATTCGTGACAGTTCTGCTATGGTGACAAAGATGGATGGGAAGGAAGATCTGTCTCGATCCTCGAATCAAGATATTCGGGACAATCGTTGGTGTACTTACTGCAAGAAACTGAGACACACCAGAGACAAGTGCTAGAAGTTACATGGAAAACCACCAAGCATAGAGTGGGGAAACCAAGGGGGACAACAACATAATCCTGGACAAAAGCGAAACCAATCCTATCTCACCATGAATCAGCCACCTCCAAGCCAAGCCACATTTAATGTGGAGGAGATAGAGAAGTTAAAAGGGACTTCTAGGATCACTGGATAAACCTAGTGGTTCATGCTCTCCTGCATACTCAGGTAAGTTTCATTTTCTCTAGGGCTAAATGTCTCAGATGAAACTATCAGGAATTTATGGGTCGTTGACTCGGGAGCCGCAGACCATATGACTACTTCTTCACTAAATTTTAACACCTACAACCCTTGTCCAAGCAATCGAAAAATAGCAGTAGCTGATAGTTCTTTAACTACTGTAGCTGGTATAGGTGACATTCATATTAGTCCTTTCATTACTCTAAAAAATGTTCTTCATGTTCCAAAGTCGTCCACCAACTTAATATCCATTCAGAAGCTCACACATGATATGAATTGTAATGTATTTTTCAAACCTTCTTATTCTGTTTTTCATCACCAGGTTTCGGGGAAGAAGATTGGACTTGCTAAGGAAAGAAACGGGCTCTACTATCTTGAAGAATCAAGCAAGTCACATATGGTCAAGAATAATTTATCTCTGTCATTTCTTTCATCATCCAATAAAGACACTATTTGGCTTCATCATCTTAAATTGGGCACCCATCTTTTGAAATATTAAAAACTATGTTCCCCACTTTGTTTAAAAATCTAGGTGCTGAACAATTTCATTGTGATGTATGTGAATTTGCTAAACACAAATGTGTACCTTTTCCAATCAGCAATAAGAAAAGTTCAGTTCCATTTTATTTAATTCATAGTGATATATGGGGACCCTCCACAGTTCCAAATGTGTCTCATTCTCGTTGGTTTGTCTCCTTTATTGACGATTGTTCTAGGGTTTCTTGGATCTTCCTTCTCAAACGCAAATCAAATGTAAGTAGTGTACTCCCAAACTTCCACAACATGATTCAAAACCAATTTGGGGTAAAAATAAAAAAAAATCCGATCAAATAATGCAAGGGATTATTTTAATCAAGTTCTATCCTCTTACTTTCGAAAGGAAGTAATTATCCATGAATCTTCCTCTGTTGATACTCCACAACAAAACGGAGTGGCAGAAAGGAAAAATGGTCACTTGCTAGCCACAACCCGAGCCTTTCTTTTCCACCATAATGTTCCAAAACATTATTGGGGGGAGGCCGTACTCACGACTGCATATATTATCAACCGTCTTCCTTCTTGAGTACTAGGATTTAAATCTCCAATGGAGACACTATCTGGATTCTATCCTGACCTTTGTACAACAAATAATCTCACTCCAAGAATCTTCGGGTGCACTGCTTTTGTCCATATTCATAGTCATAACAGAGCGAAATTAGATCCAAGGGCACTCAAATGTATATTTGTAGGTTATTCATCCACCCAAAAAGGATACAAATGCTACCACCCATCTACCAAGAAATTCTTTTTCTCTATTGATGTCACTTTTGAGGAAACAAAATTATATTTCACTCAACCTTATCTTCAAAGGGAGATTTCATTTAGTGAAGATAAGGATAAAAACTTATTTTTACTTGACCTACCTACCCGTAAGCTAATTGTGTCCATAGAACCAGATCCAACCAATCAAGTTCTAGCCAAACCAGTCTCAATTGATCCCACACTAGAACTATGACAGAGCATAATGATATTCATAACGAAAGGCAATTTGTACAGGTTTATTCAAGGAGGAGAGACTCGGATTCTAATCCCATGCAAGTCCAAGATTCAACTCCTACTCCTGAAAATGAGGTAAATACAATTTCTGACCAGCCTGCATTAACACAAGCATGTGATCTCCCGATTGCCATTAGGAAAGGCACTAGAGAATGCACAAAACACCCCTTATATCCTTTGGCAAAATTCATCCCTTTTAAAAAATTCTCACAAGCACATAGAAGTTTTCTAGTTAGCTTAAACACTATTCATATTCCTGATACTTTATCTGAGGCATTATCTAATGAGAATTGGAGAAATGCCATGAGTGAAGAAATGTAAGCACTAGAGAAGAACCAGACATGGGAGATAGTTAGCTTACCACCAGGAAAAAAGGTTGTAGGTTGCAAGTGGGTGTTTACTGTAAAGTATAAGTCGGATGGCTCTCTTGAAAGATATAAGGCTAGACTCGTTGCAAAAAGATATACAAAGACTTATGGTGTGGATTATCAAGAGACATTTGCTCCAGTAGCTAAGATAAACACGGTATGAGTTTTGTTGTCGCTAGCTGCTAATTTTAACTGGTATTTGTAGCAATTCGATGTAAAAAATGCCGTCCTTCATGGTGAATTAAAAGAAGAGATATACATGGACATTCCTCCAAGATATGAGCAACATTTGAGAGGCAACAAAGTATGAGAGTTAAGGAAAGCACTTTATGGCCTAAAACAATCACCACAGGCTTGGTTTGGAAGATTCACCAATGTAATGCTAGCCACTGGGTATAAGTCAAGTCAGGGAGATCATACACTTTTTATAAAGCACTCGAATGCAGGGGAGTCACCGCTCTTTTGGTGTATGTCGATGACATAATAGTCACAGGAAATGATGAAAAGGAGAAGGAAGCCCTGAGAAGATATCTTGTCTGAGAATTTGAGATAAAAGAACTTGAGAGGTTAAAATACTTTCTAGGAATTGAAGTAGCTCATTCCAAGGAAGGGATCTTTATCTCACAACAGAAATATGTGTCTAACCTTCTTATTGAGATAGGAAAATCTGCATGCAAAAAGCTAGTTTCCACGCCAACTGAACAAAACCATAGACTTGCATAAGCAAATGATGATCCATCCGTGGACAAGGAAAGGTATCAAAGACTAGTAGGGAAGCTCATATACCTTGCTCATACACGGCCAGACATTGCTTATGCCGTGAGTGTTGTCAGCCAATTTATGAACAGCTCGAGAGAAGTTCATCTACAAGCTGTTCATCGCATACTACACTACCTAAAGGCTAATCC